GCTTAGGGGTAGAGCGATTCAAAAATAAATTCATACCTGCGTCAAGTTGCATCCCTTTATTTTAAATTCAAAGAACATAAACACTACCCCCCCCCCTTAACTACCCGCCAGTTTTCCGGCGGTAGCCTTTGGATCAACCAATTTGTGATTCACCATAACCCACCGATCACAGTGACAGTACTGGCAAATTTTATAATACAAGAACAACAAAAAAGCAATAGAGAGCGGTAAGAGTAAAAGAAACATACAAAAAGATAAAAACTAACGTTTCTAGTTTAAATATGTACACATATACATTTTTTTTTTTAAATCGATCATTTTTTTTTAAGGCTCTGCTTGATTACTTTACACTTTCGAAGAGTGATTTTTTAATTGCAATGAAATTTTATTGATATTTAACACCCGCTTTATCTAAAATACCGGTAAAAAATGGTTTTATCAATTGTATCCGCATGATAATATGATAGATTTGGGGGGGGGGTGGCGTGCCCTCTATTTCAAATTATAACATTCTTTAATAGAATAAAATCTGTGTTATTTAATAGCGTCCATGGACAAGCTACCGATACTCATGATGTGTTTGTTTCTGGTTTCTGGCCAAGATAAACAGGCAAGAATTTTTCTTCACATGCAGTCAACCATCCCTAACCAAATTGGCGGAACAAAAGACATGGCCCTAAGCACCGGCATTCTCAAGACGTAAGCGCAAATAATTATTTATGTCCAGAGATGTTTGCAAGCAATGGATGCATTCAGTTAAACATTTACCCCCATGGCCAAAATAATTACCAGGTAGTTTACCACCTTACACAATTAATTTAAAATATTTTACAGATATTTTATTAGCTAATTGTTTATTTTGTGTATTTGCTTCAGAGTCAACAGCGTATTTTGTCATGGCCCCCCAGGAGCCACCTTCATCATTCACATCGACCCCAACTCAGGCAACATGGACCTTGTAGATAACATCCTCAATTTTGACGATGCAACTAAAGGTGTCAAACCATGCATGCCCGAAAACGACGGGGTCCAGTGCTCGTCAACCCACGTCTGCATTCCAGGCAGCAGTTGCACGGTTAACGTGACTATAGATTGTGACCAGACCCAGGGACCCACGAAATGGGAGAGAATTCCCCAGGTTGAGGTCACGTTCATGGACCGCCATGGCGAACTCGTTCTTCAGAGTTGTTACGTTATGTGTCTGGCCAGCGATTTCACGGATGAAAGCTTGGACCAGGGTTCCGAAGGGTTGTCCTATCTGGCCATTGGTTTTATTATAGCTGGCACTGTTCTCGCTGGATTCTTCCTGGTACTTGGTGTTGTGGTTTGGAAAATAAGGAACTTGAACAGATTCGAACCTGCACCATTTAACCTCCACCATCACATTCATTATATTTCGTAATGATTTAATAAGTACCGATGGTGCTGTGTTCATTTAATAATGATGTTAAAAATTACAATTGGTGAATGATGAATATGTAAACTAATATATTGATGTATACGTTTTCAATAAAATTTACAAAATCTATTTTATATTTTGTAAAATGTGAAATTCAGCGAAATATGCATATGTGGTAAGTAAATTTTTTTCTTTTTTTTTTCCAAAATAAATATGTTTCAGTTTCACCTTTTCAAAATTCGCCACGACCAGTCGTCATAACTGATGTAGGGCAAAGGCTGGAGGTTCCATTAATATTTTGTTTTATAACTAAAAAAGAATGAAACCAATTTGTAAAATGCTTTAGGTTAAAAATTTATAAAATCTCCATCTTTAAAATAAAGCTTCAAGTAAACACATTTTTTAAACTAAATAATTAGAATGTAGAAAAAAAACGAACATAAACGTGTATAAATTGTTTTGATTTTTGCTGCATTCTTTTATTTATGTTTTTTATTAGTTATTTTAAACTTTAAATTTATTAATTCTTTTGCATTTTATTTGTATAATACAATAAAGTTATTACAGAATCACCTACCTTGATTATTTTATTTTTTCAAAGTTACACATATAATTTCTTGAAAATCTTAAAAGTGTCAATAGCATTCTATTTATATCTTTAAAATTGCAAACTATATTCCTTTTGTGTTTATTCATATATAAAATCCCGTCTAATATATTTTACTTTAGCTGAATAACTTTATCTTGACTTTTTAAACTTTATATATGTTCAATATATGTCAACAAGAAATATTATATAAAATCTATTAATAGCCCAAGAAAAAAAAATTGTTCCTGCAATGAGTGAGCATCCATCTATTAAAGTTACTCGACACAATTCTATAAATTAACGAACTTTAAAAATATTCCCCATTAGTGCCATCCAGCCATCTCCCCCGACCCGCAGCTTTGAAAACGAACACGTTTTTTTTTTTTTCATGTCTCCCTGAATTATATTCATATTCTAGTTTCCTGAACCGTTTTATACCTCAGAGTCTTAGCATCTTATGAAAATTGAGACTCATTCCGTTCAACCAAAGAAAATGGTCTCAATCAAACATATTTGCGGTTTTTGATAGGGTCACATTTTGCGCAGTATCGGGAATTTTATTTGGAAAAAAAAAAAAAGAATGATGGCATCAGGTGATGTTAGTGACAGTGTTGGGATTGCTTCCCGTTTCTTCAAGCACAACTTTAATAAGCTAACTGTACTAAGCCATCATTGAGTGACCTTCAAAACAGCAACTTAAACTTGGTGTCATACTGCATAACAGTAATTGCTTGGAACCAACTGGACAATGCCGCCGTGGGCTCAACTTCCATCGAGAGTTTCAAGGCTGCCCTGGCACCTGCTAGAAGCGGTTAGAGTAGCCGCATCGTTTACTAAACCGTTGCACATATGCCAGTACAAGGATGCAGCAACGTACACTATCAGAATCAGACAGTCTGGTGTCGTATCACATAATTTAAAACCTTTTTTTTTAAATATCCAAATATCAAATGCGGAGCAACATGGAGCAAAGGCGGTGGTCTGCCCCTCATGGCATTACTTTGTGAGACAGTATTCCCTGTTCATTGTATTAACATGATACGGCTTATGTTTGATGTAAATTCTTTAAACATTGCGTTGTGGTAAATAAGTATCGAGAAAGGTAAGGGCCGCCCAAACTTTGCTAAATTACAAGTTATCTAATGTACGAATCAACGTGATAAATATGGAAATAATGAAGATGATACTCTAAACAAGATTCCCGACGTGATTCTTCAGACACTTTATACTATAGCTATAGGCGTCCCTGCTGATTACTTTTTCGTGGATCAAAACTCAAACACACCAATCTTTTCCCAGTCCTCTGTTCAATAGATGTCAACAATCTTGAGAACGTATTTTATATTCAATTATGTAAGACCACTGTTATTCTCTTTTTTTTACTCTTTAAATTATCCCAATGGGTGAATCTTTAGGTATAAACTGAGTTATTGTTTGTCAAAACGTGCTTCAGCTTTGGACGTACTCAAACTGTCTGACGCTGTAGGCTGGCTAAATGTAATCTACTGAACTGAGCAGGCTAAACTTCGTGTCCTGTTTGAAAATGGTGAACAAATAAATATGCGACACCGCATAGCTAGCTATCTAAACAAAGTGCAAGAGATCAAGGACGGTAACCAGGATGCTATCGGGACAACTTGGGACACTTTTTTCTAACTTGGCTTTGGTTCATATGAGGTCAATGTACCTGCCATTGGAGAGGATCGCTTGTATTGTAATATTACAGGAGTGGGTAGAAATGGAGAGTATGAGGTAGCGGGTCTCAATACTCATTTTAAAACCCCAATTAATTGGTAGTTTGTTGGCTACCAACCATAAAATTGAGACATTTAAAATATGATTTGTTAAAAATTTTATAATTAACATATGGCTGTTGAAATTATTTTTGCACATAGCAGTTAAAATTTAGTAAATGAAGTTTTATTAAATTTGATTCATTGAGTGTATCTACTTGTAGCTTGTAGTGGGATTTAGCCACGTCAAGAAAGTGGAAACGCTTATTTGGATTGATTGAGTCAAAAAAAAAAAACCCACAGTTTTATGACAGTTTATGTTTATGGTCAGGTTTTTCAAATATTGTAAATATTTACGATATGGGGTGGTGTATGAGAAAATTCCATGGCATGACGGATAGAACGTTAAAACAAGTGTAGATCCTCTACATCAACTTCGCTTTTGTTCGGTTTCTTTTTCTTCTTTCTGCCTGGGTGAGGGACGCAAATCTTCGGCCGTCTAATTGACCCACTCCGTGTAACGTGGCATATAGACTCGTTGTCGATGACAACACATTATATCAAATTTTTATTTAAATAAATCGATATGCACTTTTATTTTTTTCATTTTATTTATTATTAATATTCCTATGACCCACAAGAAGCCACAGGTTAGAGAAATTAAATATTTTATTAAACAACCCTTTTTTGCATTTAATTTTATTTAATTATAGTGTTTCATGATTTATATATAGTCAGGAAAATGTAACTTTTCATCTGCCAAAACTTTGGCTATTTTTGAAAAAGTTTGCCTACACGGTCTAGAAATGATTATAGACAATAACGACACGTTTCACAACAAATCAGACGTCAAGTAAATTAAGCCTCAACACAATTTTCTTGTGTAATGAGGTAAGCTATACTACAGGAAAGACATTAATTTTTGTTTTGTGCACCAAGAAAGCTTACAGTAACATTTCAGGCCCAACTTAGCCTCATCCCCAAAATATAATTTTAATATATGTGTATCGCTCATAAAATGGGGGAAAATAGGTCTCCGGATGCAAGCATTTCCTATAACCCGAAATGCGTTTCTTCCACCCTATACACTGTAAGGAACACGTCTGTCAATATAAAACATTTTCACGAATCCTTCATAATTTTCTGTATTGAAATTATTTGGTCTACAAATTTAGTGTTCTCGGTGGAAGGCGTGTGAAACCAACCGTGTCGGTAAATGTCAAGGCCGCCTTGTTCACGTGGTACTAAAAATATTTTTTTTGTGGCGCTAGAAATGTTACACGATGTATAAGACGTCGGAACCTGTATACTGGAGCTCACGTGTTCATTAATTGTTTGACTTGTTTCGGTGCAGTCGCTAAATTCAAGTGGAAAAAAAAAAAAAGGAAATAATCTAAAACAATTTAAAGGTAAGCAAACTTTTTTTTTTTTATGAACAAACGTTTTCTTTTTGTAGTGACTGCACATTCATAAATAATTATAAAAAAACATGTCTTTACTTTCATTCAATTTTTAAAACAATTACAAAATTACATACTACTTAATATTAATTTAATATACATTTAATATGCCCTTACAAAACCTAAATGATCACTGATTTAGTCATTATTGCCACTAAAGGAGTTCATGGTTGGCTGATGCTAGAAAAAAAATACTTTAGATGACTTTAAACTGATATAATTGTAAAATGTTGTCAGGGTTAAAATATGTATTTTGTATGTGTTGAAATGACTATGTACAATGTAATTTTTTTTTAAAAAATGTCCATTTATTGGAGCCATCTTTTCTTATCTTTTCTTAAAATTTTTTAACAGTTTTACTCTTTCTGGAAAATGCTTCTTTTTCCTTCCTAATATTGACACGTACCATACTTTAGATTTTTTTTTTAAACATCATTTTCTTTTTAAAATGACCTGCATGCTCACAGACACTATCTCTTATTACTCCATATCGTTTACATAAGAGTTTATGATGATTTCCATGCTTCCATCAGATGGCGAATGCCAAGAACTCGGCATTGAAGTTATTTGGAATACAAGCGGCTTGAAATCGGTCCCACACAGGTAAGCTAGCGGTACGTGGACACTTCCGATACTGGCCACAATGTTTTAAGATGAAGAACTCATGAGATGCGTAACCAATATTCAGTTCTATTTCCTCTAAAGAACGTAACTTCAAACAATGGAATTGCTAAAAATAGCAACATTATGAAGTTTACACTATATTTCATAATTCATCAAGTAAATAGTTTTCTATTATTATCATCACTTTACTTCCTGTAAATTATTTAGCGTGTTTGTGTTTATTCTGTATGCAATTTCAGGATTTGTTTATCATGGGCGGAAAAATCGAGAACTGCTCAGGGCGAGATAAACTCTAGCTCCTTCATATGTGTATATATACGTATACATACGTGTGTTTATTTCTTTATGAAAAGTATGTGTAGTGTGCCCTATAACTAGCTCTTTAATACACGATTTCAATATAGATTATGGTATTTGTATCAGTAAGGTTGTATAAGGAAGGTCCCACACACAATAATGAGTAAAATCAGTTCAAATACATATATTATTTTCTATGAAGTGACGCATTGAGGAAAAGAGGCTTCCATGGCTAGGCCTGACAATTTACCCCCCCCCCCCCAAATCCCGTATAATCAACAAATTTTATACTATATATTTATTTTATATGTTATTTATAGTTTATAATTTTTTAAATATAAAATACCTGTTTCTTTGATATATTCAGTGCTTTTTTTGTTTTAAAGTGTGCTTGGTCTGTCACCTTGCTCAGGGGAATGTTAAGGTTGGTGTAGGTTGAGAACGTTCTGGTTTTAGTATAGTTGTATGACGTTACAGTTAGTATATTCCTATGACGTCTTAGTTAATATAGTTCATCGGCGTATTAGTTTGTATAGTTCTTGGACGTCTTAGTATAGTTCTTGGGCTGCTTATTGAGTATACTTCTTTGACGTTAAAGTTAATATAGTTCTTGGACGTTTTCTCAGTGTAGTTTTTGGAAGTAAAAGTTACTTAAGTTCTTGGACGTATTGTTAGTATAACTCTTGGACGACTTAGTTAGGATAGTTCTTGGACTTCTTAGTTATTATAGTTTTTGGACGTCTTGCTAGTATAGTTCTTGGACTTCTTGCATATTTCTTTGACGAATAAGTTAGTGTAGTTCTTGGACTTCTTAATAAGTATAGTTCTTGGAAGTCTTGCTAGTATACTTCTTGGAATTCTTAGTTAGTATAGTTCTTGGACTTCTTGCATATTTCTTTGACGACTTAGTTAGTATAGTTCTTGGACGTCTTAGTTAGAATAGTTCTTGGACTTCTTAGTAAGTATAGTTCTTAAACATGTTTGTACAAATAGTTGTAAAAAATAGCCCCCACCCACACAAGCAAGCACACACGAACACAAACAAATCATGCATATAATCCTACATGTGTGCAGAGAGAGTAGGGTGGAGATAGAGAGATAGAAAGAGAGAGAGAGAGAGATAGAGAGAGAGAGAGAGAGAGAGAGAGAGAGAGAGAGAGAGAGACGAACACACGAATGATTGGATATTCATAAATCTTGTAATCAAATACTTGTACCGGAAATCACAAACTGCGAGTCGTGGTAAACAAAATTCTCCAAAACCTAGCTAGGCGCTTGTGTTGGGTTTTTGTTGTTGTTGTTGTTGTATGAGACCTAGAAAACCAAAAGAAACACAATTTTAAAAGTTAAATATACCTCAGCGAGGTGAATGTTTTTCACGCTTTATTAGGCTGTTGATTCCAAACAATGGCGAGACCGCTTCTTAGACGACGGTACTCGTTGAAAGATTAGACATTATATTTGTTCTTTTTTGTTCATAGTTTGGGTGGGGTGTGGGGGTGGGAGGTGATAGTGGTGGTAGTGGTTGGAAGGAGAGGGAGGGGGCTATCGAAGATCCCTTTTGCTTGAACACCCAAGGTTTGATGGTAAGGCTATAGGGTGATGTCAAAGGTGATATATTTTATGTTGAAATAATTCAATGTAAACACGAACAGTCTTGTGAGTTAAGATGTGGTATTTCCTATACGCCCATCCAAATAACGACGCAACACGGGATGATGTTGGGCATCGTGTCGCCATTTAACCTCAGCCAGGCTGAACGAGGTTTCTACCATTTCCGTTAAATCTCCACTAATGCACGGGCATTTTTTTGTTACTACTTGTAAACAAGGCACGTCAAGGCAAGTGGGAGAATGTGACAGTACCAGACCCTTAAAATAAAAGAGATGTTTGCAAGTAATGAGTGTGTAAATGTATTGTGTGTTTGACATGATTAGGTGCAATGTGATTAAACAAAAAAAAAAATTCATTTTGAATTCACTGAGCCCTCTCGACAGATAACTCCCTCCCTCCCCCCTCACCCAACCCCACTCGTTCGATCAGGAGCTTTTGACGCACTCATTGTCGGATTCACCATTACCCACCGATCAAAGTGACATTAATGTGACTTTTTATCCATCAAGAAAAAGCAATGCAGATATATAACTGAGAAAAAAAAAGGGGGCACATGTTTAGTAATCGATCTGAAAATGAATGAAGCTGAAGTTTCTAGTCTAAAATAAAAAAATTGTTCAAAATTACTCTCAAGGTTCCCGTTTGTAGTCGTTGCATTTTTTAAGAGAAATTTTTGTATTTTTAACTTTTATAGATATTAAAACCTGCATTATATTAGCTACTGGTAAAATAACAAGTGTATGAAATGATTCAACGTGATACTACGATAACGGGGGTTTATTTTAGTATATATAAAATTTTGTCTAATTTAATAAAATATGTGTAATCCAAAAGTGTCCATGGACAAGCTACTCATAGTCATGGTGTGTTTGTGTCTTGTCTACGGCAAAGATCAACAGGCGAGAATTGTTCTGCGCATGGAGTCCACCCTCCTTAACCAAATGGGGACATCAAAAGACATCTCCTTGAGCACCGGCACTTTTAAGACGTAAGTACAAAGTAGTGTTTTTTTTTGACAGGTCCAGAGATGTTTGCAAGTAATGAATACATAGCTGTGTAAGTTTATTATGTGTTGGACATCGTGGTGTCACAGTTAATTTAACAATTACCGCAAGAAGGAACATGATTATCAAATATTTGACGACCTTACAAGAGTAATTTAATAAAAATATAACGGAGATGTCACAAAAAATGGTAAATTTTGTGTATTTGCTTTAGAGTCAACAGGGTATTTTGTCAAGGCCTCCCAGGCGCCACCTTCGTCGTACGCACCGATCCCAACTCAGGCCATCTTGCACTTGTGGATGACATCCTAAAATTTGACGATACAACTAAAGGTGTCAAATCATGCATGCCCGAAAACGATGCGGTCCAGTGCTCGTCAAATCACGTCTGCATTCCAGGCAGTAACTGCACAGTAAGCCTGGCTATAGATTGTGCTCCAATGCAGGGACCAACGAAATGGGAGAGAATTCCCCAGGTTGAAGTCACCTTCACGGACCACCATGGCAAACTCGTTCTTCAGAGTTGTTACGTCATGTGTCTGGCCAGCGATTTAACAGATGAACTTTGGGAACAAGGTTTCGAAGAGTTTTCCTACCGGGAAATTGATTTTATTATAGATTGCTTTTTTCTCGTTGGATTCTTCATGGTACTTGGTGTTGTAGTGTGGAAAATAAAGAACTTGAACAGATTCAAACCTTTACCGTCTAACCTTAACCATGAAATTATATATATTTCGTAATGATGGAACAAGTGTTCAAAGTCATGGTGTACATATTATATGATGTCATCCTATAAAATAATGGGAATGAAGTTGTATTTTAAATTTAAACAACAAATATGTATAATATAGATATCAATTTTTTAATTAATGTTTTATTTAGATTCACAAACTAATTACATTTTGTGACATTGGGAATTTAGAGAAGTTCGCAAATGCGGAATTGCTAATTTTGCTTTTTGAACAATAGTTTCAATTTTCAAATTTCCATTATTTGCTAGGAACAAGCATCAATGCCACGTTAACAAAGAGTACAAAGGTTGGCGTTTTAAATTATGCTTTCATATATAACACACTAAAAAATTATTTTGTAGGTAGCTTCAGTTAAAAGTTTATTGCATTTAAAAATCTCTAAAAATAAACCTTTATACAAACCATCACTATTTGTATTTATCAGATGATTAGAATGTTTGAAATCGGCTTCTAAATCTGAATAAAGGGCTTTGATGTTTTACGCATCCTTTCTGTTTTGTTTTTTCTTTTGTTACAAAATTATTGGTTTACAATTTAGTTGTTTGCAAATGTTTTATTTAAGAATTTACAATATAGTTGTTACAGAATCAATATCCTGGATTCAATTTTTTTAATATTTTATTTAATGACCCATATCGTTTCTTGAAACATTCTAATAGTGTCTATGGTTGTATATTAAATTCTTAAAAATTGCATATATCCTCCTTTTGTAATTCTTTATAGTTAATATCCACTGTCAAATATTTAAATGTGGCTGAGTGACTTTATTTTCCCTATTTTAAATTTGTATATTAAAATGCTTACGCAGTTAAAAACGTACCCAAATGAAATATAATTGTTATGTTTTCATTGTTTTTATTTCAAACAAGTAACATAAACATAATATATATACATAAATACAAGTTCTCAATCAGGTGTTGATTTTCTGCTTGCGTCCGGAACACTGTTCATAAACACACACACTCTATCCAGTCTCTCTGCGCATGCGCGCTGATTCCTTGGCTGGCTATCGGTACGGTCCAGTCCGCTAGTCCACCCTAACAATAATATATATATATATATTACTAGCTATAGATAACGGGAAAAAAATGATTCCCACTGTGCGTGGTTTCTATCTATTAAAGTTACTTGACACAACTTTATAAAAGTAACGAACTATAAAATATTCCCAAGTAGTGTTACCCAGCCCCCTTCCTCCCACATAGGTTGGCAATCGTTTTTTTTCAGCCCTTGAACTGTATTGAAATTCTATCGTCCCACCCCTCAGATATACAGCACCTTACTAAAAGATGAGACTATAAAACAAAAGAAAACATTACGCACCGAAGGCATTTAAGGTATTTGAAACAACATCGTTTTAGCGCGGTATTCGAGAACCTTATTTGGAAAAAAAAAAAAATTATTTGCATCTGGTAACGTTAGTGACAGTGTTTGGATTGCTTCCCTTTTCTTTAATAAGCTAGCTGTACGATGCAGCCGTTAAATGACAATATAAACAGTGAATTAAACTTGGTGTCAAAGAGCCTCATTTAAAACTTGGTTTTATATCCAAATATCAAATGCGTAGCAATGAAAAAAGGGGGGGGGGCGCGTAGGTGGTAGTATACCCCCAGAGACGTAGCGTGGTTTGGGCAGGGGGACAGATGTCCCCGGGCGCCAGCTAGTTAGGGGCGCCGAAATGTGCTTTAATATTATTTTATTGATGAAAATAATAAGCTTGAGAGTTGAAAAAAAGAAAAAGGGGCGCTAAAAATCGATCTTGTCCCCGGGCGCGAATCTTGTCCCCGGGGGCCAAACACCCTCGCTACGCCAAACACCCTCGCTACGCCACTGTATACCCCGAGGGCTGGAAGCATTGGTTCTGTGAGGCCGTAATCCCTGCTCGTTGTATCAACATTATGGGGCCTATGTCTGATGTATATTCCTTATGCATTTTGGTGTCGTTAATATGTGCCGAGAAAAGCAAGGATAGCCATAGGTATTACAAACCATTGCTTCATTACAACATTTCTAATTTATAAAACAACTTTATAAATATAGCAGTAAGAAAGATGATACTCTTTAAACATAGATGTACCATTTGATTTATCGGGTAGACAATCTATCCTCTGGTGTCCACCCTGATTATTTCTGTTTCGTGGATAAAAATACAACAACAAAAAACACAGGCATCAATCTTTTCTTAGTCGTCTGTCCAATAGATGTCAAAAACCTTGAGACCGTAATTTATCTTAAATTATGTATTAAGGGAGACCACTGTTATCTGACGTGATAGGAGTAAAGTCACATTTTTGAAATATTGTAAATATTCACGACACGAGAAGGCAAAAATTTTCGAACGGCTAACTGACCCCAACCTATCGAACCTGTCAACCTATCGAGCTGAAATGTTGGCACATAGACTCGTTTCCTATAACAGCACATTATATCAAGTTTTCATAATAATACATTTCTATATATTTTTATTGTTTTTTTTTATATTAACCAGAGGCCACAGCTTAGAACGATTAAAAATATAATTAAGCAGCTCATGTTTTTATTTAATTTTATTTTATAATATTGTTTTATGATTTATCTATAGTTTGGAGAATTTAACTTTTCATTCACCACAACGATGGATACAATGTGCTGAATTTAAAAATCCCATTTTTGTTATAAAAATAGCTCGTATCTTGTATTTAAATTTCCACAATACGTGTAACCAAAAAGGAAAAACAACTTATCATTAACTGTGCAAATTAACTTTAAGTCGTCATTGCGTCCCTTGGAATTTTTTGTTACTTAAGCTGTATTAAAAAATCATATTTCAAACAGTAACATAATTTACTAGAATAGAGAAAATATTCCGCTGACACATGTTCAACAAAGAATGAATTAAAAATTATTTAAATAAAAACATATTTATTATCATAAAGAATCCAAATGTCAAGGGTATGAGAATCCCTGTATTGGTATGAACTTAATGTCACCGTGAGTTGCCAGTTTTGGGGTTGTGATAGTGGCTGACAGTGACTGGGTGAAATGAGAAGGATAATAAACACGTGGGTGGAATATTGGGTGTGGAAGAAATAGCGGAGAGTTAGTTGACAGTACACAAGAATTCACATAGAGTTTACGTTCAGTTCTGGGAGTATCCCGGTAGTCGATGTACAATAGCCAGAAGTGTGTGGCTGTAGTGGAAGTTAGTTCACGTTTAGTCCACGTTGCCTAAGATGATGTTGTTCCCTGAGACGGGTTGTGTACTATATGATATTGCTGTCTTATCTACGGTGACCAGACGTCCCGGTTCATCATATCATAAGAGTGTTGGAATGCGATAAAGCTTTAAGCTAGATTAATTAGACACGAACATTTCTGCCAATTAAACAATACATGTTCAGCTTTAATAACAATTTAAAATTTAACCCAATGAAACCCACTCACTTTTGACAATGGGCGTTTCTTCACTGTACACTACTATTCCCCCACACTGATCGACTGACTCACCGCTATTTCATTTTTAGTGAGAAAAAAATCCTAATCATAAGTTTCCAACAAGTGTACTTTTGACAAAACTGGTTTTACAGCTTAACTCGTTTGAATTTGATGCCGAGTTTTTTATAAGAGCAGTTGTGTTGCTATGGGAATAAAAATGGGAACAAGTTATGCATGTCTATTTATGGGCCATTTGAACATCGTTGTACATAATATTACACAAGTCCTTTCCCAGAATACTACAAGAGATACATAGTTGACAGTATAGGTATAACCAACATGGACATGTCACAACTAGAAAGGTTTATTAACGTTATTGGAGATTTTCATCCTACAATCAAATTCATTTCAATGATCCATAAAAGTACTATCAATTTTTGGGACTTAAAAAATAACCAAAGATCCAATGTCCTAGAAATGTCAGGAAATATCCCGGCCTGTGGCGTTTTCCGGTGAACCGCGTACTTTTCCCTAGACAGAGTAAGAGTCCTTTCTTTGAATATAGCATTTGGACACCATGTAAATCACAACAGCAAGTAGATACATTGAAATATAAATGCTAGTTGCCAAATAAAATTTCAGTTTTTCATGTGAAAAGTTTTAATGATAGGTTATTTTCTTTAATGTTTAGAGAGCTATCCAATACTCTCAGAAATATTAGTATGTCATGATTAGGAAATTAAATATTAAATATGAAAACTCAATTGTTGATGCTTCATTTTTCTGACATGCATTGGTTGTGTACAATTTTTAATTTTTTTAAATTATTTTTTTGTAGGGCAATATAAATTTTTAGTAATTAAATACTCACCAACAGCTGTTGTGAACATTGAAAAAGCGACATGTTCCTTTTAAAACTCAGAAAGCATCTATAATTTCCTCACAAAACACCTCTGGTACTTTTTCTAAGTTATTGTTCACAAAAATTTCATCTGTGATTCCTTATTAACACAACGTAATGTTTTGCTACGTTCATAAAATACAGTATACTATATTATGTATACTAACAAATTTGTTCTTTTCCCTTTAGGGATACTATACAATGTACTTTAATGCAAATGTGCTATGCCTTTCATGTATGCTGTATAATATACACTAATGAATTTGTTCTTTGCCTTTCAGGAAATTGCGTCTTTCAGTTAATATTCAAGAACCGGTTTTGGTTACAAGGGGGAAGGGGGTTGCGGCAGGGTCCCCTAACCTCAGGGTCCCAGGTTACTTCCAGAACAATTTTTTATCGCCGTATCTTATGTGTTATAAGGAACCTAGAAAAGATGACTCTTAGTTCAAAGTGCTTATGTGTTATAAGGAACCTAGAAAAGGTGACTCTTAGTTCAAAGTGCTTATGTGTTATAAGGAACCTAGAAAAGGTGACAGTTCAAAGTGCTTATGTGTTTTAAGGAAGCTAGAAAATGTGACTCTTAGTTCAAAGTGCTTATGTGTTATAAGGAACCTAGAAAATGTGACTCTTAGTTCAAAGTGCTTATTATGTGTTATAAGGAACCTAGAAAAGGTGACTCTTAGTTCAAAGTGCGTATGTGTTTTAAGGAAGCTAGAAGATGTGACTCTTAGTTCAAAGTGCTAATGTGTTATAAGGAACCTAGAAAATGTGACTCTTAGTTCAAAGTGCTTATGTGTTATAAGGAAGCTAGAAAATGTGTCTCTTAGTTCAAAGTGCTTATGTGTTATAAGGAACCTAGAAAATGTGACTCTTAGTTCAAAGTGCTTATGTGTTATAGGAAGCTAGAACATGTGTCTCTTAATTTAAAGTGCTTATGTGTTATAAGGAACCTAGAAAATGTGACCCTTAGTTCAAAGTGCTTATGTGTTATAAGGAACCTAGAAAATGTGACTCTTAGATCAAAGTGCTTATGTGTTATAAGGAACCTAGAAAATGTGACCCTTAGTTCAAAGTGCTTATGTTTTATAAGGAACCTTGAAAATGTGACTCTTAGATCAAAGTGCTTATGTGTTATAAGGAACCTAGAAAATGTGACTCTTAGTTCAAAGTGCTGCATCAAAATGTATGATTCAGTGTTAGATTGATCAATATAATTATAACTTTTGACATTTTTAATGCTTTTATTTAAAATGTAACTGAAACGTAAAAGCAAATCGGTCTAAATAAAAAATTGTCATTTATTTTGTAGCTGATTTTTTCAGCCGGCGATCCCATAACTCACCCTTCGCGAGCCCATCCGTCGTCATGAATCATGGAAGGTGAACGTAATTTACAAAGCCCTTGCTGAAGACTATTAGACCTGCGGTAGCTCACCCTTACACAGTGAAATCTGAGACCCCCATTTCTGTTGGCTGTGTTATAGTATATGCCGAATAACACACCTCACCAAAAAAAAAAAAAAAAAGCTTCAACCTCTTTTAAATGACAATGTGTAACGACAACTTGAAATTCTCTTTGACTCAGCAGCTTAGAAGATGGAGAAGGGGGAAAAAAGGGGGGGGGGGATTTATTTGTGAACCTCTATTTCTCCATTATAACTACTCCTGGTTCAGACTTCATAATTTCGCTATAGTTGGTTTCAACGAGTAACGTCACCTTAAACTCTTTGCGAGGGACACATTTCTAGAAAGAAAAAAAAAGGAAGCAAACAATAGTTGTTTTCCAATTTTTTGTAAGAGACCAATGAATGAATTACCTTTTACGAAGGGCATCCAAAATTTAAAAAAACAACAACAAAAAAAAAACGAATTAATTCAAACGTTTAAAAAAAAAGAAGATACCAGCCCCTGCTTTTACTAAATAATTAACATAACTTATACTTGAAGTTCATTAAATCTATTATAAAGATAGTCCCCTAATAACAGCATAGCACGCAAGCATCTAGCTTTGACCTTTGAAGTAAAGCTTGAATTCAACGAACCATGGACACAAACTATTTCAAAGACAATCTTTTATGGTGCTTCAACATTTCTTTTTTTTTTGAGACCGTCGCAGTGTGCAGCTCGGTTCTGGTGTCAGATGTGTTGTAGGGTTAAAGGTAGGTCATTTGATTTTGTTACTGAAATTCGATTTAAAATAATGATATACCATGTCAAGATGATTTCTTCTTATATTTGAGGGGCCCACGATCAATTTGTTGATCATTATGGCTCCTGGTTTTAATTCAGAGTTTGCCTTCTCTTAGATGGGTTGCCGTCCAAGGCTAACGAGTCCCATCCACCCGGGGTGCTGGGGATGTTGGCTTTAATGGAGATTGACCCTCCCATTTAAATGGCATACTATGCGTAGTTCTTACAAATATGTTTCGGGTGATATTTATTTTCGTATAATTTATAAGGCATGTTTTTGAAATTATATTTGATGAATTTAGTTTTTGCTTAATTATTGAAACTAATTAAGTTTTGGGTGCTTCTTATAAATATATCGATTGTTCAATTGCTGTAAATATAATGGGTATAATATAAATATAATATGCTGTTTGTTATATTCTTTAGTTATAATAAACATAGAAAATATATAATCTAGATTTATAAGAAAGATAGCTTAGCTATGTAGTAACAAAGATATACCATAATATATACTGTAGATTTATAGCAAAGATAAGATAACTGTAGAGTAAAAAAAAATGTAACAGATATAATCTAGGTTTATAGCAAAGATAGCACAGCTATAGAGTAACACATATGTAACACAGGTCATACAGTTAGAACAAATGACGGCACAGGAAATGTTGCCGTATCGTAAGCAAATTGAGCATGTTAAACATCTCCTGACATCACCTTCATGGACCCTGAAGTCAATAACATGTTTACCTTATCATTATCACTTTGTCTCTGTAATCTCATACTGACATGTTATAATAGGATTCAACTAATTAAACAGACTACAATTATCCCTGGGAGATGACCACACCTTTACCATCAATCTTCTTAAATGGACTTGTGTTCATCGATAATCAAAAATTAAAATCAGAGCTTAGCTCACGAACTTGACAAACCAATAAAAAAAATGTATTTGTTGACTTTTCTAAACTGTCTCAGATTTAATTAATGTCCATGTCAGCTGGGATGCTGCTAGCGGCCGTGGTCCTCCTAACTCTGAGCATCGTCTCGGTGAACTGTCAGCTCTCGTTGCTGACGTTCAAGTTCACACACAAGGATGCCAAAACAAAGTCCGAGGGGACCACAGAGATGAAGCTTGACGACACCAATATGAACTTGTAAGTCGTGTGAATGAACAGCGCGTCGACAAATGTCACCACTGTCATTAATTAAGTGATTTTACTGTCACTGTTTCATGAAACCAAAGCTATTGGATTATTTGATTATTTGATTACTTGATTATTTTTTTTAAAAAGTATTTTGTAAGCCAACATTTCCAAATAAAAGTTAACCGCCTACTAGACAATCGCTGGGGTTGTTTGTAAATTTAACACTTAATATTAAGTTTTCTAAGAGGTGAGTTACAGCACGACGTTCACTAGCATTGTAATAAACTGAAATTTAAATGTACAACTCAAATCAAATTTTTTTTGTTGTTGTTGTTATAAACAATGTCATTATGATTTGAATATCTCCACAAATGTATAAGTTCTATCTTTGTTATATACGTTTAAAACAAGGGTCCCAATGAAAATAAGTTAATATTATACAATAGTCAACAATCACAGAGTTTGCTACAACAGTGCTATAACGTTTTAGAAAAAAAATTAGATGTGTTCTCGTGTCGTAGCAATGTGTCAATTTTAAGCACTACGTCTTTCAATACATCGAGGCTTAAGCACTGAATAAACACACGCAAATATCCGATCAGCTTCATCGCGCAAGTAGGTCATAGCACCAAGGTTTTTATCTTTTTGACAGACGGTATCATTTAGATTCCGGGACATAACATTTAAGTTTCAAAACATGTAATTAAAATAAAGATTCGGAGGAGCATCGTGTCCAAGTAGAGAGCCACCATATTTCATTTTATTGATCAATCTATTTCTATTTGATTGTTTGAGGGAACGTTAGAAAATACATCTATGTCTTCATCTTTTTATTAATTTACATTCAAATCCTGTGTCACGCGTGCTAAACTCTGTGACATGCCAGTAAAAATTAAAAAAAAATAATAAGTTTTAATTCTATACCGTAGTCTGAAGTCATGAACTTTCTTCAAAGACGAATTACATCTAATGAGGGCTCGTGGCGTTATAACTTCGATGTTCATTGGCAATGCCTTTACTGTTTTGGCTGTTACATGTGAAGAAAGTCGTTACAGCTCAAACGTCTCTTTACAATGTATTTAATTTTTAACTGTGATATGTGAAGAAAGTCGTTATAAGTCAGACTTTTCCCTGCCTTTGGTGTGTACTTCTTATATGTGAAGAATGACGTTATATCTCAGACGTCTCTTTCCCCTGCCTACAGTGTGTATTTGTTATATGTGAAGAATGAAGCTATATCTCAGACCCTCCCCCCACACTTTTCCCCCTGAATTTAATGTTTAACTGTGAAATGAGAAGAAAGACGTTATGACTCCGACGTCCACTCCCACCTGCATGTAATGTTGACTTGTTATATGTGAAGAAAGGCGTTCCAAACAATATTTTGAATTTTTAACTTTAATGTCTGTCATTCTCTTTGAAACAGTGCCGTACAATAAGGACAGACTGGTGGGGTGAAAGAACAAAAAGTCAAAACTGGCCGAGAATCGATAAAAGGGTGAGGGGGGGGGGGGTTGGCGTCAAATCATATAATTATATAAGCATCATAATCTATTTAGGCATGCATTTAAAATTTCAAGACTGCATAATACTTCACTGTCGCCCAGTATGAGCGTAGTGATCAGTGTAATTATTAAATGCTTAAAGCTTTGTTATATCTTACTTAATAAAACAATTTGACACGCCATACCATTGAGATTCCGGGTTTGATTCCGACTGACAATATAATAGAAGTTGAAACGGTAAATTTAACAATAAATGTCTGATTATTTAATTAATGTGACAATAATGAGCCATGGTCTTAAATTTGTAAATGAAATAATGGGGAAAAACTAATTATTAAATTATTTTGTCCTCTTTTGAAATATACTTGCGCCCCTTAAAAAAAGTTAGCCCCCATTCTACCACACGTATAGCCCCCCTCCCTCATGATAGGTATCATCTAAAATTAAAATTATTTTACAAATTTCTCTAAATATTTTGAAATGAATTTTAATGTCGCTACATGCCAGTTCTTTACTTCCTTATAAAAGGGAAGTAATCCTACGTGTGCCATGCATTATTTCCTTTATAGATGTGTACCAGGCCGCTTGTTACTTTTAGCCTCCCTTGCCTTATAGCTTCGTTTCTTGCAACAATTTTTTGTATCAAAATATATTTAAAAAATTCTTTAACATTGAAATAGAGTGAAAAACAAATGCTCTAAAAGTTTCTATTTTGTTCTTCATTCTTTTAAATAATTGATAAAATTCTATTTTTTCTAGAGTCCAAAACAAAGTGTGTTTCGTTGCTGAACCTCACAGATTCATCGTTCGCATCAACCCAGTCCTCGACACGATGGAGATCATACCAAGAAGCATCGCACTGCAGAACAACACCGACGGGGTGCGGTCGTGTCTGCCAAACAAGATGGCGGTGACGTGCAGCGCCAGCATGTGCCTGGACGTCAGTGAGTGCACCGTCAACGCCATGGTATCGTGCGAGGAGGACAGTGACCTGACCTCGTGGGAGACCACCCAGATGATGGAGATATCCCTGAGGCCGGCCAGCGGCGGGCTGATCATGACGGCATGCCTGGAGCGGTGTGACGACAGCGTGAAGGCCGGGCCGTCCGATTCAGATGCGTCCGATCAAGGCAGCGATGATCACGGATTGTCCAGAGTGGCCACGGGACTGATCATTGCCGGGGCGATATTGGTCGGGGCGTTGATGGTGATAGGCATGGTCGTGTGGAAGATACGAGATTCTAATTCACAGATGCATCCTAGGAACTGCCACAAACTGACGTGTGCTAAGTAATGATGCAAAGTCAGATGTCAAATAGAAATGGTCTGGTTACAAAAAAAAAAAAAAAAAAAAAAAAAAAAAAAAAAAAAAAAAAAAAAAAAAAAAAAAAAAAAGAAAAGGTCCGGTTAAAAAAAAAAAAAAAAAAAAAAGACGAAAAAGAAAAATGTTGAACGAAACAAGCAGCCTATAATTATACTGTGATAACAATGTGATAACAATGGATGTGAGTGTTTAAATAAATTTAGAGTTTTTTACATTGAATTTCGTTACACATACAGCATTATAGATGATATATTAGTGGTTTATTGGAAAGCCAAGATTTTTCTGAGAATTGTTCATTGCTCTGAAAAATGACATAATTAAAAAAATAATAAACGTAATATTTACGTGGTTTGGTTATTTTGAACGTTAAATCAAAGATGCAGTGAATGTCTACACACGTATCACATTAAATCGGTGCTCCTGTTATTGTGAACTTGTGGTAAATCAAGTTGAGAAGCTAGATTTTCAAATAATTAAAATTACAAGTAAAAGCGATTGACACATAGGAAAGTAGGCTGCGTGTCTGATTTGGGGTAATAAGGGGAGAGACTGCAATCAGGTTAGCACAAAATAAAATGAGTAAAACAGAGTAGTGTTAAACCTGAAAAAATAAACGCAACAAAACAGCGAACGAGTGCCACACTTCTATTGCTGCCCACAGATACTACTTACCAGCTAAGTGCTATTTCTTATTTGTATTTTTATACCGTTTTTTTCTGTTGTTTTGTTCGCTGACGAAGGCTTTCTGCCGACACGTTCGCTGTTTTGTTGCATTTCTTTTTTCAGGTGTAACCCTACTCTGTTTTACTCATTTTATTTTGTCTGATTTAGGGCTGAAAATAGTGCAGACATGTTTACGTTATAATGTGGTATTTGATTGAAGGACACAACGCCTATGGAGTAGACAGGGTTAGTGTCGCCCGTGGGGGGGGGGGGCGGCAGGGTTCTAGCTTTTTATTGCTGCATCCCCTTCCCACCCCAATCACAATAACTCCAGGCCGCCAAAATTGCCACCCCTCAAGTTAAGGGAAAACAATGACGCCGGGGTTTACCACCGTTAAGCACTCCCCTGCTTACGCCACTGGACAACGCCTTTTCACCGAAAAAGATAAATACATTATTTCTGTTAAAATACACTGTTTAATTTTACAGTTCCATGTAGCATCTTTTTTAGTTTTTAATTAAAATTATATGGTCTGTTTCGTTGAGACGCATTTTGCTTAGAAAGTATTGCTACATTTGTTTCAAAGGAATGTATTTCATTTCATTTTTGTCGTTCGTTAAGTAACCCGTACACATTTAATACAATTTTTTTAAAAAAATATTTAATATATATTAAGCAATTAATTATTAACCTCAGAATCCCTCGACACATCGGTTAAACTTTCAAACACAGCGTTTGAGGACCACTGACCTGAGCCCAGACGCAAGCTGTCTGAAAATTTTTCATGGTAAATTATTATTGACCCATATCCTGCAATTGAGCTCCTTCAAATTATCATTTCAATTAACATTACATATAGCTAGCCAATAAACCTGGCGTTGTTCGGGTTTGCATTCAGACAAACTTTCAAAGCGAATCATCACACAATTATTATGTCTCCCGGCGCAAAATTACTTGATCTTCAAGTTTTAAAGAAGAATGTTAGAAGAAAAATTAGTCTGCATAAGGAAATGCTTTGATTTAAACGTTTCTGCCAAAGATCTAGACTATATCTAAAGTAAAATCGATGCCTCTTAGCATTTTTTTTTAAAATGTCGATATCACTGGTTTAAAATTGACCGATATATTTCAAGGTATAATAAAAGATATATTTACCAAACTTTTCCCGAATGGAACAATTTAAATAGAAGGTTGAATAGTAAACTAAGCCTTTCTTTATAGCTTAGACCAGGGGGACACAAAACTACGGCCCGTGGGCATATCTGGCCTGTCGACGGCACTTGCTTGATAAAACGTAAGGAACACGAGACGTTGTGATACAATTTGAATTTTTAAATTATGTTTTAGAATACTAGGAGATCTTAACGGTGTGGAGTTCTCCTTGCTTCTATGCGGCTTAATTTACCATTTTCAATTTTTAATTATTTTATCTAAATTTTCTTGTTGATTACAGACGTGCTCACTTTCTTAATCCTAAAACTCATACAATATCGTCTCATAATCATGCAATATCTTAATCGTAAATAAATAAACATACAGTATTGAAATGAATACAATAACTATTCAAATCGCAGTGCCACATGGGATCGAGTTGAACTGTCGTCAATAAAGTTAACTCCTAAAAGTAGATGACCGACGTTTCCAATACAATGTGCGGTCACTTTGTTTGTTGGACGTGTGTTTGATATAGATAATAATTTGTTTTGAATGGACGTACAGATCACATCATCACAGTCTATCACTGGTAAAAATTAAGTTACGGGTGAAATTTACCGTGTTTCAACTCGAACTCAGATCAGTATAAAACAAAATGTATTTAAATAAGAATTAATTAACAAATGATGACATCATTTTTTTTAAAAAAGAAAAGCTGGATTAAACAAACAAAACATTAATTTGTATAACTTAATCAGGTAATAGTAATAGCTACGACTAATATTTTGTTTTTTTAAAATTACGTAGTGTCCATATATTTGAAAACATTAGCTATATTTTACTCTGTAATATGTTTTTGATATTCAGAATGACGTAATGTTTATGTTAAATCAAACAAATGTCGTAAGTAGTTCGTAACAAAAACATAATCTGAAAAGAGACGAATGTAATTGTCCACACTTGGACACGCATATGATTTATGTTTTAAATTTCATTCACTTTAATTAGCCTGTTACGGTTTTCAGCGTCGGTCCCAACTGTTATCGCGTCCGCAAGCGGAGAATGCGTTACATCTTTATCCTATAGACCAGCGGTTCTCAAGCTGTGGGTCTCGACACTTTTTGGAGTCGAACGACCCTTACACAGGGGGTCGCCTAAGACCATCGAAAAACACATATTATTGAAGTAGCACCGAAAATTATAATTTTATGGTTGGGGGGGGGGGAGTCGACACAACAGGAAGAACTGTATTGAAGGATCGCGGCATTCGAGAGGTTGAGAACCATTGCTACAGACAAAGACAACCGCGAGATAGCAACATTAATTTACAGGACCATTGCTAATGAGCCATGGAAAGAGTCAAGTCTGAAGCACTTCATTTTTTTTTTGTCAAGGGCAAGCTGCACACTCAATGTTATCAAACATAATATATCTTTAAACGGCGAACAGGTTTCCAAGCAGATATTTGAGGCACGTTTTGAACAGGCGAGTAAACAAGGCAATCAGTGATAACAACTAGTTTTGTTTTAGTAAGGATTTTTTTTTTTAAATCATCTCCATTCAACATTAAGATATTTTTTGACATAATTTTTTCTTTATCTAATCGTTTAATAATTTCACATTTTTAAAGCCACAATCAATGAATAATTTTAATGGCAGCTTATGACAGGTTAGACTCTGAAATTTAAACAGTTTGCATGGGTAAAAAACTTTATTGTCGGCTGGCATACCTTCATGTTTATTTAAAGAAAATTAATTTACTCCAATATTTCGAACAGAAAAGTTGTCGAAAATGAATTATCAGTGATTCTAGTTCTTCAAATTTGAAAAAAAATATTAAGTTTATTAAATTTAAATTTGCATGTGGCTTGTTTGGTATCCTAGAATCATATTTTTACGTTCCGATCTAGGTCTAATACCAATAATACTTTTTAAAAATAAATTGAAGCTGCATATTTTTTTTAAAAATGTCTTAAGAAACAAATAGCAAAAAATGTAATGTTCTGAAAAGGCACGGATGCTATCATTAATTTAATCTGAATGAATACATATACATTTTTTTTTTAAAGTTTGATGTTAATGCGAGTCATATTGCATCATCATGTTTGTATGAGTGTTATAAATGTCTCGGCTGTTCTTGAACCGTTGTGTTGTGATCAATTTAAAATTCTACTAAAAATAAAAAATAAAACACATAAAAATTTTTTTTTTAAATGTTGTAAAATATGCAACACTAATCAAAAGTATCATAAATATAATTTTGTCCAGTATTTTTTGGCTTAAATGTTTTAATTTATTTTTAAAATCATTGCATCATTTTTTTATAAATCAAATGAGAAAGAAGCTAGCTAATTTTTTTCTTGGTATATACATATAAATGTTATATCTCCTTCATAATCACATTCTGACAGGCTAATTCTTTGCCCACATCACATGGGACCACTGGCTAACCCCACACAGTTGGTATTGATGCTACACCTACTGGTCACCACTGAACGCGTTCTCGTCCATTCCCAGTCCGACCCACAACTCAACTTTCATTTTGTGGCCCCCAACACCGGACGTATCCCGGAAACGCACGATGTCCATATTGAGCAGCAGCTGGACGACCTGTAAGCCATCTATAACATCATAATGCTTTTTACGCCATTCAGCTACGTATGGCGTGGTTTAAACAAACAAAAAAATGCGTATTAAATAGCAAATAAGAAAGCGTTTCACCGCTTACAATAAAATAATGAGATAACATTTCTTTATGGACGTTATTATACTTTACGTATCGTGAATAACAAGTTCAATGGCTTCGTTGTCTTGGAGTTATAATTACTCACAGAACCATTGTTTCATAAATCAAACGTCTCTTTATTGAATATAATACTATCTTAAAATCTAAAACTTTATCCCTGCTATCATTTCAAACACCATAACTCCAGTTAACACGTCATCTTCCCTTTCCCAAATACGTTAGAAAATCACAGCATGTAACTACAGCTACCCATATACTCTCTACACTAAACATCTTTTAGATACCAAACATTCCTGTTCATGGATCTATTCCACAATGTTATCTAATTAATTTTAATCAATGTCATAAAAACTAAAGCCTATTTTTTAATTAAATTTATTTTAGTCAAAATCAATAGAATCTGTTATAATAACTTTCAATGATTTTTTTTTTTTTTAAAGGGCAATTGCTTGTTAAAAACAAATTTTAGTCGCCGGGGGAAGCGGGGGTTGGGGAAAAAATAATGAAAAAAAAAGAAAATGTGCCAAAAGCATGAAAGTCAAATTAATTCAAATTGCTCTTTAGGTGAACTATAATGAAAAAAAAAGTATATTTGCCAAAAGAATGAAAGTCAAATTAATTCAAATTTATCTTTAGGTGAACTATTTTAATATTTATATGTTTATCATTTAAAACCAAAATTATTAGTTCAAAAGTTTAGCTTGTTACATTTAAAAAAAAAAAAAAAGAAATATTATTATAATGCCCTTGTCTCGGACGATTAAAAAGA